GCTCAAGCCGGTGACCAGTGAGTGTTTTCTAACAAAATACTTGAGCTCATGTCTGACCTCTTCTCCAGGATCTCGGGGTCGGTGATGCGGGTGTTGGTCATGTGACTGTGAACACCGCTCCGCCCCCTCCAGCCTGGCCCCGCCCCCGCTCCCCCGGCAACCGTCTCATAGTAACCAACGCTCTCACTGCCGAAGGAAATGTTGTTCATGCAGCCCTGAGGGGAGGAGGAGGGAAAAGAAAAGTATGGGAAGTTCAAAAAAGTTTTAAAGGTCCCCTGTTATACTGTTCTTCATCAATATATCACAGGTCTCAGATATATACAGAGCCTGTCTCTGATTGGCTGAAACACCAAACAGATCATTGCAGCATTACCCATAATCCCCTCTGTTTCAGCCCTGTTTCCAAAGTGCTGATTCTCTAAAGAAGAGTTATATAGTGTCCAGAGTCTATATATGTCTCGACAGAGACTAACCCGACGTTTGTGGTTTGGTCTAGTAACGCGTAAGGGTATTTAGGGGAGACAAAGTTCGGGACAAAGGGTTTCACGGGACTAAGAGACAGAGAATGAAATCTACTTTATCTCGGGGAGGGGGTGCGGGAGACTCTCTCTAAACCAATGTTTCTTGAGTACCACGAGATCCCCTCTAAGTCCACATTCCCCCCCCCCCAAGAGAGAGTTGGTTGTTTTTGCCTCCTCCTCCTTTTCTCTCTCTAGGGGGGGGGGTAATAGTGGACTTAAGGGGATCTCGTGGTAACTCAAGAAACATTGGTTAGAGAGAGTCTCCCCGCACCCCTCCGCCCGAGGAATAAAGTAATTTCANTTAAAGAGTCCTCTCCTGCTGATGTTCAGGTGTATATCAGTATGTAGTGTCTCTACTTTAAAGAGTCCTCTCCTGCTGATGTTCAGGTGTATATCAGTATGTAGTGTCTCTACTTTAAAGAGTCCTCTCCTGCTGATGTTCAGGTGTATATCAGTATGTAGTGTCTCTACTTTAAAGAGTCCTCTCCTGCTGATGTTCAGGTGTATATCAGTATGTAGTGTCTCTACTTTAAAGAGTCCTCTCCTGCTGATGTTCAGGTGTATATCAGTATGTATCTCTACTTTAAAGAGTCCTCTCCTGCTGATGTTCAGGTGTATATCAGTATGTAGTGTCTCTACTTTAAAGAGTCCTCTCCTGCTGATGTTCAGGTGTATATCAGTATGTAGTGTCTCTACTTTAAAGAGTCCTCTCCTGCTGATGTTCAGGTGTATATCAGTATGTAGTGTCTCTACTTTAAAGAGTCCTCTCCTGCTGATGTTCAGGTGTATATCAGTATGTAGTGTCTCTACTTTAAAGAGTCCTCTCCTGCTGATGTTCAGGTGTATATCAGTATGTAGTGTCTCTACTTTAAAGAGTCCTCTCCTGCTGATGTTCAGGTGTATATCAGTATGTAGTGTCTCTCCTGGGACATGTCTCCGTGCTTTAAGGTTCAGAAAGCTCTTTATTGTTCTCATACTGCCTGTGCTGCAGCACCTCTTTTCACCCTCTGTCTGAAACCAGAGCCCAGTCTGCTCTGATTGGTTAGCTGGCTGGCTCTGTTGTGATTGGTCAACCGCTTAGAGTTGTCCGCTCCTTACCCTATCAGGTACAAACACACAGGGATGTTAGCCTTTACAGAGCATTTATATGCACTAACACCTATTTAACACACTATATGAAAGGGAAAACCCCCAAAGCATAATAAGGCCTCTCCTAATCGTCTACTTAGAATGAAAACTTACATATATGAAGTGTTTATGTAGAAGTTATGTGCTGTCCCCTAAAGCTGAATAACAGACCTGACACTCTCTTGAATGATTCCTTGATATCTTACAAAGGAGACTCGAAACAAGCGGATTCAAATCAAGATTAATGAGAAAAAGCTTCAATACTTACAACTTTGTTTATACTCATAGTACGTTAAATAACATGCACGATATCAAGATGTGTTCTTCAGCACGTCATCATGACCTGTTAGTAAATGACAGGATGTCTATTTTGATATATTTATTTACTTTAACACTTCGTACTTTGCATTTCTTGACTTCCACTGTGCAGTTTGAACGACGAAACGCCACTCTCCTTCCCTCCTCCAGCTCTTCCTCTCTGCCTGATATCTTTCTCTGATATCTCGCCTCCTGAAGCTAATGCTCTCTGCTGTCACTCCTGTCCATCAGCCCTTCTTCCTCTCCCTCTCTCCCTCTCTTCGCCTTCCTCCCTTCCCGCCATCCAGCGGCTCGTATGCGGGAAGTTTCTGACACACTATACACTCTGTAATGTATACACACCCGCCATAATGGAGGCTATCGACGGCTGGTCGGAAGAGTGATGAATGCGTCAAATTAATAATTCATGTCAGTGTTTGGCTGCAGAGGGCCGGGGATGGATCAGCAGTTTGTCTTCTGTGAGAGGATGGATTTCAAGAGAATACATCAGATGCTCGTTTTTAATAACATGTTGACAAGTGGGATAAGACTACAAATCAAATATGCTTTTCAATTGGATGATTTACCAAGACTTGTTATTTCCTTTTTGCATCTGTCTTTGTGTATTTTTCTCACTTTTTCAGTCACAGTTTTGACTTCCCAGACTGTTTGATTTAATTTCCAACCTTTTTGTAATGTATCATCATATCTATCGTTCTTTTTTACGTGACATCCCTTCAGTTTGAGCCTTTTTCAATGATATTCTCTGTTCTTACTTGCTCATGTCATCCCTCTTTTGACAATAAGTTGCTAAATACATTTTAAAGTAGTTAAAGTGTTTAACTTGTTTCCCTCTTCCGGTCACAGCTTCCGGCTTTCCAAGAAAATACTTACTTTTAAAACATTTTATATTTGTATCGTCATCTGTATTCTCTGTAAAGTAATTTAATTTTTACCCACAATTATCAGACATTTTGATGAAGCTAAATAAACCTTTTAACAGTCATTCAATTAGTTTAATGAGTTCCCCCTTTAGTTGAACACCCAGAGGCCCTTCAGATGTCTCTGTGTGTTAAGGTGGACATTATTCCTTCTGCTCCCAGTCTAATCCTTTATTCCAACCAATATCAGGCATTTTAATTGATGATTTCCTGGTCAAAAACCTTCCCCAGGTGAAACCTTATACGACTCTTTAGAAAGGCGATATATTGCGGGTGTTTACCTCGTGAATCCGAGGCTCCCTGCCAGCAATCACACCGTCAGAAAGGCAGGGGAATGTGTGGCCAATCAGGAATGCCGGTGAACCAGCCACCTCTTTCATTTGGGCCCAGAGGAATGTCTGCTGGGTAAATTTTCTGCATCAATCTTAGGTGATGGGGGGGATTTTCCCCTCGTTAGCGGTGTGTGTTTGTGCGTGTGTCTCTCTCCACATGCTCCGTCAGAGATAAGAGGAACGGGCTCCCTGTGAGAAGCCTCTGTGGTCGGCTGTGCATTTATGCAGCGGAGGATAATATTTCCATTGTTCGTGCTGCCTTTATGAGCCTATATTTTATTCATGAATTCCTGAGAGCCACGTCTGACTTCATATGTGCAGGAAACTTTTTCATCTTCCGACCACTGTGGCTGGACTCCAAAATACACCCCACATGATGGATGAGTTTGAGAATAGAGTGAATGATTATGTGATACGTGTCACTGTAGAGAAGACAAACCAGGTATGGGTCAAATTCACAAAGTTTGTTTGGTCGCTGATGGTAATTTGCAGCTCGGCTCAGTCTGTCTTCTGTCCTGATCTGAGGTGTGTTTCTCCTCCACCTCCCTCCCCCCGTCACTCCTTAAAAAGCCATCAGTCATCGCGGCCCCTCTTGTTTTACACTCTCCCCTCTAACTGGTGTTTGATTAATCTGTGGCAGCCAGAGGTTAGCCTGGCGCTAGTGCTCCGCTGCTAACTCACCTCTCAAATCCAAAGGGGAAACCCCGGGAGTGTCACTCAAAGAAATAAAAAAGACGTTTCTGGAAATGGATGAGGTGAGGACCAAAGAGGGCAGAACAAAGGGCGGGAGACTTCTCAGTTCCCATAAACATTTTCCCTGGCGCTGTTTCCTCTGGAGGTGAAACGTCCGTCGTGTGTTAGCATTAGCGCTGGGCTAGTGAGGGGCAAAAGTACACACATCCTTTACTCAAGTAGAAGTACAGATACTCGTGTTTAAAAATACTCTGGTGAAAGTAGAAGTACTGACTAAACTTCTTTACTCAAGTGAAAGTAAAGAGGCTTTGAAATGTACTTCAGTAAAAAGTACCCATAACTAGCAGCTGTTTTAAAGAGTACCTGACCTCCCTTTATATTAATAGAACAATAATGTCATTGTTAGCTAATGAATGTTTCCATGCTGAACAACGGCAACATGACAACGTTTTCATTGGTCCCTCTTCTTTAGAGAAGACCAGGAAATGATGGATACACGGATCGTGTTCAAATCAATAGGCACGCAATGACTCTAAATAATAATGATCACGCCACCAAACACACATTCANCTGTGTGCCTTGGCAGTCTCAGGATCGTGTTCAAATCAATAGGCACGCAATGACTCTAAATAATAATGATCACGCCACCAAACACACATTCAAACTAAAGGAACCAGCCTGTTTGGAAAATGAGAGAAGTATAAAGTACAGGTATTTGTGTTCAACATGTAAGAAGTAGAAAGTACAGGTATTTGTGTTCAACATGTAAGAAGTAGAAAGTACAGGTATTTGTGTTCAACATGTAAGAAGTAGAAAGTACAGGTATTTGGGTTCAAAATGTAAGAAGTATAAAGTACAGGTATTTGTGTTCAACATGTAAGAAGTAGAAAGTACAGGTATTTGTGTTCAACATGTAAGAAGTAGAAAGTACAGGTATTTGTGTTCAACATGTAAGAAGTCAAAGTAAAAAGTCGTCAGAAAAATAAGTGGTGGAGTAAAGTACTGACACCAGAAACATTTACTTAAGTACAGTAACGAAGTATTTGTACTCCACTACTTCCCTCTGAGCTGAAGCTAAGCCTGTAATTATGAGTTCAAACGCTGGAGGAGGCGACCTGCTGACGGACGGGGTGACTGACAGGCCGTCCAGGGGCCTCGCGGGGCCCCTAATGGAGGCTTCTGGTAGACAGCAGCTTGATTTATCTGGCCCCAAATGGAGCTCTAAACATGGCCAAACACAGATCCCACTGTGGAGCAGGACCACCACCACTAACAGGCGGCCCTCTCACTGCCTGTGTCTATGTGTGTATCTCAGAGTGCATGAGGAAGTGTGCATTTCCACCATGTATATGTATATATATGTGTACTCTTGTTTCATTTGGCCATTTGTGTGTTTTCCCATCCATAACTGTGTGTTTGTGTGTAATCATATTTCAGTAGAGTTGTGTCATGCGTGGATGGAGACGTTGTAGAGTGACTGTGTTCGTGTGCAGAAAGTTAGTGTTTGTTCGTATAAGTGCAACATTTTAGTAGATTATCCCTGCTTGTTTATCTTTCCTGTGTTTGCACCAGAGGTCTTTATGGGTTCAAGAGTTTGGACCATATCCAAACGGATTTACGGAGCAGCTACTCAAACCTGACGTGCATAAATATATTTTCAGGAAAAGATACATATAGGGCAGCAGAACGGTACTCAACCAATTAACGAGCAAAACACAACTTCATTCAGGTATGATTTTGAGATGGAACGTGACGTCGGCTCCATGAAATGCTTCTCTTTGTTAAGTATCAGGAACATACGTGGTCTAATTCTAAAAAAACAGTCCTCCTAACTCAATATTTGATCTGTTTTATTTAATCTAAATCATCATTTTGTTCTCAGTTCTCGAAGAAGTACACAGATCATTTACTTAAATAAAATTACAAATACTATGGTATTAAAATACTCCACTGCAAGTCAAAGTCCTGATTTCTAAATGAACATAAGTAAAAGTACAACATTATTAGCATCGAAAAGTACTTTTGTACTTAGAGTACAAAAAATACAAGTACTCATTCTGCACAATTGCATGTTTCTGAATAATATAAAATATAAAAGTCGTATTTGATAAATTAACTTTAATTATCAAAAGTAAAAGTACTCATAATGGATCTTTTTACAGTATTATATTATCATGGTTATTATTTTATCCAGTTTTTATACACGTTAGAGCTGTGGTTGGTCAATTTGGACCAAATTCTGAAATGTTAAATACTATGTACATTAGTACATGCATGCACTGCATTATAACATATCAGCATGTGTTTTTATACATACAAAAAGTAACTGTGAGTTTTATAATAAATGTATTTTGCGTCTGTAATGCAGCGTAGTAGTATTATAAAGTAGTACGAAATGGAAATACTCAAGTAAAGTATAAACATCAAAAAAGTACAATACTTGAATAAATGTACTTAGGTACTTTCCACCACTGCTTTAAGGAGTTTTTTTTAAGGTAAAGTTAAGTATATTTCATTAAATATACGGAGGTTAAGTCCCTCCCATTGGACCTTTTTAGGCTGATGTATATAATACAACATACAACTCATAGACTTGCAAAATAATTGTTTATATAATTAAGCTGGACACCGGAAAGGAAGGAACTCTGCATCTGATAAAATAGTTCAAAATGTTGTACATTACTCAAAGTAATGCATTAAAATATATATATTGGATTGTGGAACTGACCAGTGATTCACATTGGCTTCGTGTATTGGATACAGAGTTGAAGACGTGTGCAAATCTTTATGTGTGTGTGTGCTGCAGCCTGCTTTTATCTGCACTTGTACTCTTGACACAGTTGACTTTCTAGTGTGTTTGAACAAGTGTGTGTTCATGCACAGAGAGTGTGTGTGTGGTGTGTGTGAATGGCAGGCTCTTAGGTGCTCTGTGTGTTTGTGTATCAGATTAAAGGGCCGACGGGAGCCGAGGAACTTCCTCCCTCTCTCTCTCAATCATTTTCTGACTTCCTTCAGGAGATGTTTCACCCCAGGTACACACACATGTACACCCATCAGTGCTTTCTCTCTCTCTCTAAAACACACACACACACACACACACACGCACGCACGCGCGCGCACACACACACACACACACACACACACACACACACACACACACATGCACACACACATGCACACACGCACACACATGCACGCACGCACACGCACGCACACACACGCACACACACACACAAACACACACACACACATGCACGCACACGCACACACACACACACGCACGCACGCGCGCACACACACACACACACACACACACACACTAAGACCCCTCTGGAGGCTGAATGGAGCACAGAGGTGTGAGTCGTGTGACGGTGGTCTGGTTTGTTTTTCCTCCGACAGTCTGTTTATGTGACTGTCTGTCTTATCACTGAAAGGCTGTCTTTCATTCAGCTGACTGACGAGCGATGCTGGGTGTGTGTGTGTTTGTATGTGTGTGTGTTTGTGTGTGTGGGGTGAGATTTTGTCTTTTCCTCCCACGATGATTAGCCTCCTGAGGCTATTGCTAGGTGCTCGCTGTAGATATTGTGGTAAGAACAGTACAAGTAGAACCAGTCTACAATTTCAAGTAGTACAAATAACTTTTTGAAAAAAGACTAAAATTAAACGTTTTCACGATCCAAACAGGTTGTTCTCCACTCATGCATTTGACCACCCCTTCCCTGTCTCTCCGCTCACAATGTCCGGTTAAAATTAATTTAAATAAATGAGAATATGCAGCCCAGAAATCAACCAATGTTGAGAAGAAATATTTGATTATTAGGACATAAATCTTTAAATTCCAGGAAACAAGACGTCATTAAAAATGTTGTTTGGAGTTAAACTGATTCAGATTGGCCTGTGTTAACCCTCGATATATCAGCGGGATCAGATAACCGTTCAGTGACAGAGTTTTAGTTTTCAGCCCCGCCCTGATCTCCAGACGCAGTCCAGTCTGGATCTAATTCCTCCCAGTTCCCTCAGGCTTGATCAGATCATATTTCATTTCATTTATCGCCATATTTTAATCAAGTCCGGGTCATTAAACGCTGCAGCTGGAGAACACGATCCACATCGGTTCCAGCAGTCCATCGAGTAGGAAAGTCGTGTAAAAACAATCGCAGAAGGAGGAAGAGAGGAGCGCAGAAGTTCTGTTCTTTTTCAGACAGACACAGATGACCTGCCAGAGGATTTCCTCATAGATGTGGTGGAGCTGGAGGAGAATTTATTATTAACACCTGGATGTGGTCGGGGGGGTGGGGGTCAGAGAGGGAAGGAGCAGATGGTGAAATGCAGAGAAAGAGAGACGAGATAGACAGAGGGAAGTAAAACAAGGCAACAGAAATACAAAGGATGAGACTTTTGGATAAGCCAAATATTTAAAAAATGACGAGTGAGATTAAGAGAACATGGCAGGAAGAGAGTGAGAAATGGAAATAAGAAAGCACAAATAAGAGGAACAGCTTTGAAAGATTTGGGAGGGTGCATAAATTATAATGCAGGACTAATGCAGTCAAAAAGATATTTGCATAAAGTGAAGATACAAATACAAAGGTCTCAAATGTGGATATGCCAAGTATAAAGAGATGTTGAAAGGGAGATTTATGAGGCGATGACTTGAGGAGTTTAAGAGGAGATAAGTTCCTGTGATGGCGGACATACTGTGTTCTGCCAATACGATCTAATACAAGAAACGCTGCAGTGATTAAAATAGATTTGAAAGCCAAACGGAGACAATTGTAAAGCAAAAAGTGTGTGGGAGCTTTAGGATAACCCAAAAAGCATAACAGAAGATGAACTAATGTTGAAAAAGCAGTGGAGATGGAAGTCATGTGCAAACAAAGATGTGATCAGGCAGATGTGGGGAGAGAGAAATTCTCCTCTCCTACCTGTGATCTGATACGGCAGCTGAAAGAATCAAAGATCAAATCTGACATTGTCTGTTTCAGTTCCTCTTCATCTGCCTTCATCACCACAGAGCACAGACAAAAGAGAACGTGAAGTAAACACAAGATGGAGAAAGTTCACTGAAGGGTTTCCGCGGGGTCATAAAAACTCTTACATTTGATGATCAGAATTTAAGGCCTTAAAAAGGTCTTAAATATGATCGAAAAAATAAGTAAGGTCTTAAATATGATTTAGAAGGTCTTAAAAAGTCAGTAATTTGGTATCTTCAAATCTACTTACAAATAAATATGGGGAAGTTTAAGTTCAACCGTATTTAGTTGGAAAACATCGAATGTAGTGCTTGGTTGAAACCAGTGGAGGGAACGTGTTTGAAGCCCGTTTGTTTTGCTAATGTAGCGTTAGCTAGTGNACCGTTATAATTAATGTTAAACCTGAGATTCGACTAGAGAACAAATAAATAATAGAATAATGGTCATGAGATCTCGGCATTGCACAAACAAACAAATCTCATCTTTAAAATCAACATTTGCCTTCACTGGTGAGAGAAAACAAATCCCATCACAGTCATTTGTGGGACTTACCCTTCTAGTATTGAACAAACAATGAAAAAATACATAAAATATGAAGAAAAACGATTATGCAATCTAATTCATAACACCCGCCATCATTATTTTTTAAGTATCGAAACCGGATATGATTTCGGTACGGTATACCGTAGCCACCAGTAACCGGTATTTCGGTGATACCGGTATGCATCCCTAGCTCTGATTGTCTAATATTAAATATACTTTTCCAAGAATATCTACTGAAGAATCCACCTTTTTTTTTTGTTGTGCTTCCAGATGATACAGCAGAGTTCAACCAAGTGACCGGATCACTTATTGCTATCTTCAAGATGGATGCTAAAGGTGAGTGTTGTTTTCTTATTAATGTTCTTGTATGCATTTAAATGATTCATCCCAGTTCAGAGCTGTGCCTAAAGGCGACAGTGGTAAACATTACATTCTTACTCTTCCGCTCTAATTATATCCCGTAGTAGGACTTCCTTCTACCTGTTTAAATATTTAGTTGTAACCTGTGGTGTTTTTTAAGTTGACTTGTTGGCCGTGTGAAACAAAATATATATTTTGGCCTGTTTTAAGTCGGTGTCATTCTATCCAGTAGATCTGCATGTTTACTGGATTTAACTTCTTGTGTATGTCATTATTATTGCATCCTGGGTAATCCCATTGCGTTTGTAATTATTAAATTGCATTGACGCAACCCCTTCTCTCTGTTGTCCTCCAGGTACTCTTGGCGGTCTCTTCTCTCAGATCCTGCAGGGAGAGGACATCGTTCGGGAAAGGGCCATCAAGTTTCTGTCCACCAAACTGAAGACCCTGACAGAGGAGGTCATGACGAAGGAGGTGGAGGACCATGTCTTTGCAGAAACAAAGAAGGTTCTGGAGGACGTGACGGGGGAGGAGTTTGTCCTCTTGATGCGCGTGGTGTCCAACCTGCGGGTGCTGCAGACGGTGAACGGGCGGCAGCAGCTGGTGGAGCTGGTGGTGGAGCAGGCCTTCCTGGATCAGGCGCTGAACACGGCCGACCCCGACCTCGTGGACCGCCTCCTGCAGTGCACCCGCCAGGCGCTGCCCCTCTTCTCCGTGAGTAACACACATTCACTTTACAGCCAACACCGTGTATTATCAAGAAAGTAAGCTAATCGCCCAATCCCAAAGTTACTTCTTCAATTCGCCAAAGTCATTCAGTTTACCGAGAAGACCATGAAGCTCAAGATTGAGAAGTTTACTGGGATTAAAGCGTGAAATAATCGTGGTTTTCTCCTCTCCTGTAGAAAAACGTCCACTCGACACGTTTCATCACGTACTTCTGTGAACACGTGCTGCCCAACCTCAGCGCCCTGACGAGTCCCGTGCCGGAGCTGGACATCCAGCTGGAGGTGAGTTCTGGCTTCATATTTATTGAGACACAAGTCAAATGTAGGTAGACTTGTGAATTCCCGTAGTTATTTAAAATGTGTTTTTACATACCACTGATTAGGTTTCTACACATATTTGTCTTGTTTTTTAATCATTGTAACTGAATTGAGGGTTGCAATGCCAATTTGCTAATTCAAAAACATGACAATATGGAGTTTATTTAATTTACATTTTCATCAATTAAATCAAAAATGATGTTGCATATTGAATTGCCAATGGCTCAATGCAATGCCATTTGAATTAAAGAGGCCAGAACAAACTAAATATGGCCACTGTTGTGATGTGTGACATTGGGTGAGAGGTCGTAGTGAACAAAGTGCGCGTGGCAGCCACCTGTCGGAGGCGTCAGCCGCTGCATGTTGTTAATGGGTCATTAGTCTGCTCCACACAACACTGTTTCTCATTAGCAGTGCACATTACACTGGGTGAGGGATCTGCTAAGCTGTGTGTGTGTGTGTAGGTGCTGAAGCTGCTGGCTGAGATGAGTCCATACTGTGGAGACATGGATAAGCTGGAGCCAAACCTCAGCATGCTGTTCACCAAGCTGGTGGTCCAGCTTATCCATGTCTCCACAGTATGGACTCATCTCAGCCAGCAGCTTCAGCACCTACACACANACACCACACACACACACACACACAACAGCAACACACGACACACACACAACCACACACACAACACACACACACACACGACACACACACACACGACACAACACACACACTACACACAACACACACCACAGCAACACAACACCACCACACACGACACACACACACACACACACGACACAAAGAAAACGGCAAAGTACTAAATTACTTTCACAGCTCAACACAGACACACAAACAAATTTATTCACACACAACTTAGTGTAATGTTTCGGTGGTCACAGAACTAGTACTAATCGCTAGAACTCTTTCATTGTCTCATAACATCCGAAACAATTAGTTGCACAATCGGTAGTGTTATCGCAATCGTAAACCTGGAGTAATTGAAACGTAATCGCCGACGATCGAAAAACTAATCGAAGCGATGAGTGTCTGCATGCAATACCATCAAAAGTGAGTCCGATCGGTTTAGAGAATCGAGGTTAATCACAGTCTAAAGTGAGCCTGGTGTTGGTTTTGGTAGTGAGTTGGCCGACACGCTGCACACACCACACTACACACACACACACACACAGCACGACACACAACACACACACACACTTACACAACACACACACGACACACGACGACGAGCGAGAGCGGGCACACACACACACGACACACACCACACCACACACCACCACACACACAACCACCACACACACGACACACCAACCGAGTCCAGAGAGACCAGACCTGGACGTAGTTCACGAGTGCAGCAAGCTTACAACCTGGCAATACCCTGTGACTCACACATGTATAACACACATAGCAGAACCCCTTGACACAAAAAAACGACACACGACACACACACACACAACACACACACACGCACACACACACACACACACACACACACACACCACACACACACACACCACACACACACACACACAACGACACACACACACACACACACACACACACACACACACACACACACATACCACAACACCACGATTAAACATAGTGCTTATGAGAGAAACAAAACAAGCCCGGTTCTTATTGCCGGAACAAAAACAGTAAATACTGGTTTTCGGGTCGCGTGCGTGCGTGTGTCTTTGTTGTTTGGGAATAAGGAAGAGTGAGAGGATACGGCCAGCATAAAATAGTACATTTCGTTTTTATTTTCCGACACAGTAAAGTAAAGCTGTAGTAAAAAATCAGGAACATTCAAAGGGTGAAAGAAAGGTGTATAAGGACAGCTCGAGTCGAATAAGTACTACCAGGACAGCCATATTCTGTGGTATTCGATATCCCAATTACAACAACCTGAAGGTCCATTCCGTGAAGTATTAGTTACAACATTACGTAGTTAATGATCATTAAGGTTATATAGGACAAGAGTTATCGATGTGGAGTGTGTTGGAGTATGTTTGTGAGTGTGTGTGTGTGTGTGTGTGTGTGTGTGTGTGTGTGTGTGTGTGTGTGTGTGTGTGTGTGTGTGTGTTGCCCCCACCATGCATGTTTGCTTTTCTCTCAATGGTCTGCTTTGAAGGACAGAGGGGAGAGAAGTTAGTGAAGGTGGGAGAGGAACAGGGGAAAAATGAGGAGAACTCTGGGAATGTACGGCAACAAGATAAATATCCTTGGCTTGGCGTCACGAGTCCGCCATACTCTCTCTCTGACTCTGACACACACACACACACACACTGATTACAGAGTAAATATGTGTTATCGTATAAATCAGCCATTGTTTGTGAGGCGGAAGCAACACACACACACACAAACTCACACACACAGACATGTTGACTTTCGAGAAAGGGAACTGGTGGAGGTGATCAGTCATGTAGGGACACACACACAGACACAGACACACAAACACACACACACACACCACATGTATTTATGACATACCTGTACCTATACAAACACAACAACAGAAAACAGCGTGGCAGGCTACATTTTACAAACCTAATCTTGTCTTGAAACGACATCCCTATCGAGCTGAAAACAGGGATGGGTTATACATGTGGACGTTTCCCGGTAGAGAAGAAAAGCCGATTTATTTTTAGCTCTGACGGAAATAATCTGAAATCATCGCTTCTATGTTTTAAATATCAAAAGAAATGCAGGTTATATCTACAGTGAAAGCAGTGCTGACCAGTAGACCAAGTTTTTGATCAATCTGCAACATATTTTACATTTTAATACGTCAAGTAATTTTTCTAAATCTTTTTTCAGCCCTTTAACCATGGAGATATATTTTTATATTTGTCCATATTCAACTGAACTCAATATTTTTCTGACATTTTATAAACCAAACCATTGTTCGAAAATAACTGACAAATGAATCAATAATGAGTTAAATGTTAGTTTCAGCCCTTTTGACTTTTTCTTGTCTGCTGTCCAATATACAAACACTACTATCATCAAAACTATGCTAAATATATAATCTTTAGCAGATTATCACGAAGCTGCTTTCAATCGGCAAGACGTGCTCCTTGTATGACAGAAGCACTTTGATGCATAGCATATCAAAGGATTTGAGAGGATTTGGATTCAATGAAATGCCCTTCAATATACACTTTAGGAATCGGTAGGTTGGTGTCTATCTACGCCGGGATCCTGAGTCGAGGCTGATCCTGTTGCTGTGGTCGTGTGTCCTGGATCCTGAGTTCTGGATTAAGTCGTGGACTTCGAGTCGTGGCTGAACCTGTCTCTGCGGTCCTGCCTGACTCTCATCATACTACTTCCCTGATGGCTCCCACAAGATTGCTGACATCCTCGTGGATTCATCTTCCTATTATACACACATGCATTTCCAAACATTTGGTCTACCTATGTTGTAAATGTATTATCTCTTCAATTTACACACGGCATCTATTGCACGTCTGTCCGTCCTGGGAGAGGGATCCCTCCTCTGATGCTCTCCCTGAGGTTTCTCCCATGTTCCCCTTTAAACTGGGGTTTTCTCTGGAAGTGTTTCCTTGTACGATGTGAGGGTCTAAGGACAGAAGGTCTAAGGACAGAGGGTGTCGTGTTGTCATACTGATATTCTGTACAAACTGTGAAGTCCACTGAGACAAATGTAACATTTGTGATATTGGGCTATATAAATAAACATTTATTGATTGATTGAAGGATGACAGGAAAATAGAAGCTGTTTAGAAAGACTTTGAGTATATAGTGTTTAAACTAGTTTGCAGCTATGGATCTGAGGAAGCATTTAGGGGGAAAATCTTGCAAAGAAAAGTCACATTTTCTCTAACTTAGCACTTCTACTGAGTCTGTGAATAGGATGATTGAGAATCAAGAAAATGGAATATCTGCACATAACCAAAAGCAGGAACCGTTAGCACATGTCTGAAACTTAAAAACCTTGAATCTCTCATGTGATTACAGCCCTACATGTGACTGTATCTGTAACTCAGAGACGTAAACATACACACACACACACGCTTTCCAGCCTGCGCACAAAATCCATTAGCCACAGCTCTGAATGCAGATCTGTATATATTGTTCCAGTGTATTATAGTTCAACAGACTGCCAACATTTTACCATTGTGCATATGGTTTTCATACACGCAGACCACATGACGCACGCCATACACAGCTATATTTATGGCTAATTAAATAATGGAATGACACGCACACACAGGCATCATTGTTGAAATGGCATTTCCTTAACGAACAGGAATTTATTAATCAGAAATCAGATGCATGCGGCAAATTCCCTTCATCATGTGGCCACAGTGTGCGTGTTCATATATACAGCATACTGTATGTATACCTCTAAAAAGTGGGTGTATCCTTTACAGAGTGCTGCTGTTTAAACAAAACGATTGGATCAGACATTGAACACAACGGGACTGATAGCATTTACTTTGCTATGAACTTTAATTTCAACTCCCACTTATGTGTTCACCGTCATACACTAGAGTCATGTTGCTGCAAACTTCACAAAACTTATTTTTACTCAATCAACACGAGTATTAGACGCATAGTGACCTTTAACCTTTTCCCTATACTGTCTGATTGAAGAGGACATATGCTACCCATTGTCAGGTGTATATTAGTATGGTTGAGCCTTTGCAGACCATTCACTAAAACCTAAATAATACACTATAGGGAAGAGAAAGCCCCAAAAAGCCTAACAGGGCCCATTTAAATACTTTATTAAAGGGTAGTGAAGACAAAAGGGAGATAGAGATCACTTGTTTGAGGAAATCCATCAGCCTTGTTCTGTTATAATACATTCCAAATGTAGTTCACGTGATTGTTTAATATTTCACTGATGTACGGCCTTGTGCTTTGGCAATACTGTGTTTTGATTTGGTCATGCCAATAAAACACACACACACACACACACACACACACACACACACACACACACACACACACACACACACACACACACACACCATGTATACATCACTTCAGGGGACATTACATTGACTTACATGCATTTCCTGGAGACTTATCCNCACCTCATAATCAAAACACACATCAGCTGGTTTTCACCACTGATCCATTACGAGCTGTTACTACTTTAAACATTTCCATTCATATTGTTGCACATCCTCTTAAGTGCTTTCTGCTGTGGCCTACTAAGGATACATTTTCTTGCAATTTATTTTTGACGTATTCACTTTCCTTGGTCATATTGGATTTAATTTTTCTTGTAAAACATTAATCCAGGGTGCAGCACTGTATTTTATCTCTTTCATATGGACGTATTTTTCTACCAAAAATCTTAGGACTGGTCAGGTGTTACTTGAAATCTGAAAACAAATGTTTTAAAGGCAGTTCAAAACTGACAAAGAGTTTGAAACACTGATTTATTTGATATCTCTTTGCTCCTGTTAACGCGTGTGGTCCCAGTTGTTTGACGATAAAGCAAACGAGACAAAGATATATCGTTCATGGTGTTAAACGTTTTGTTTGTCTGTGTAGGAGTTCATGCCTCTGCCACCAGATGAGGCGGAGAACGGGGAGAGCTCAGCGATGGAGGAACCCAAACTGCAGTTCAGCTACGTGGAGTGTCTCCTCTTCGGCTTCCACCAGCTCGGCAAGAAGCTGCCCGACTTCCTCATCGAAAAAGTGGACGCCGAGAGCCTCAAAGACTTCAAGATCAGGTGAGGGAGTGAGGCCAAATCATGAAGTCCCTAAAACAGCTCCAGGGGTTTAATTAGTAAAGGAACATGAGGTCTGGATATTCTGAGCGTGTTTGTGGTTTTCTTACGGATGTGCTTTTTGTTCGACAGGTTACAGTACTTTGCCAGAGGCCTGCAGGTTTACATCCGACAGCTGCGAGTAGCACTGCAAGGAAAGACGGGAGACGCTCTGAAGACCGACGAGGTAACGACTGACTTTCTTTACTTATCTTTGATTGCTTTGTCTGGGTGGAAACCTAATAGAGAGGTGAAGTCCTGCCCATCTACTTCCGCTCCATGGGACCTTATTTCGGAAAAAGTATGTATTGAAGTCAATGGGGAGAGAAATATTATCTTTCGATCACATATGATGTTTGTCAATCTTAAAAATTCATTTCCATGTCAACAAAGTTACAGTTTGTCTTAAAACTGTTGAAATATAAGACTATGAAAAATACGCAACTAGAAAGACTACAAATCCCAGAATCCCGGTCCCGCATGCTGGCTCTTAGAATCGACTAACTCCCCTTGTGTGTGTACAGCTCTCAACATGCCCAGACTTGTAGTGATTTTCACCTCTTTAAATACTTGTCGCCTCCTTCTGAAAGAAAGAAGTGAATTGTGCCAACGTGACGGCCGTCTTGGTGTGTGGTGCGAGACGGGAGATGTAGTTCATTGAGCGGTTNAGAAATTAGGTATCTTCAAATCTACTTACAAATAAATATGGGGTAAGTTCAACCGTATTTGGTTGGAAAACATCGAATTTAGTGCTTGGTTGAAACCAGTGGAGGGGAACGTGTTTTAAGCCCGCCGCACCTTTTACAAAATAAATTAGCGTTTGTTTTGCTAGTGTAGCATTAGCTAGTGTAGCGTTAGCTAGTGTAGCGTTAGCTAGTGTAGCGTTAGCTAGTGTAGCGTTAGCTAGTGCAGCGTTAGCTAGTTTAGCGTTAGCTAGTGCAGCAGCTCCCTCAACAACACTGGGGGACCTCCGGGCGATGTTTGGGTCTACGTCAACCCTAAAAGCGGAGGTGCTGTGGATGCTAAATACCGTAGCTAAACACCAATCATACAAAAGCATGAAGACTGACTATAGCTCTTGACACACACACACACACACACACACACACACACACACTTTTTGGCTAACACAGTTCTGTGTACGGTTATGTTCAGTCTTCGTTCTTATGTTGAACGTGAATACATTTACTTTTTAAGTAATTATGGGACGTGTTTCTTCTTTCATAGCAATTTTCCTTCATACTTTCTTGCCGTGAAATAGGTCTTAAATTCTATTCAAAGTGGTCTTAAAAAGTCTTAGATTTGAGTTGGTGAAACCGGCAGGAACCCTGTTAAAGATAAGACTCATCCTTTAACAACGGAAAACAATCCATTTATTTGATAGAAAGATCTTTATTATACATGCTACATATACATACATGATACACTATGTATTACTTTTACCCAAGGTGATCTGCCTCGTATAGTTAACACTGCTCAGGTTGTTGTCACATGTTGATACTGACCTGTTGTTGTTTTTTGTTGTTGTAACCCCAGAGCAGCGCGGCGGCTTCAGGGGCCGAGGACGAGGCTTCAGAGGCAACAGGAGCCGAGGCCGGCCCTACTGAGACCCCCCGCACACACACAGTACATATTGCTCATTGAACTGCATCACATCAGGATCTTTTCCGCATCAAGACGGACTATTTGTCACTACTGTTCTTTTTTTTTTTTTTTTAAACTGGTCTCCACTTCTTTTTCACTTTCTATCTCGCACATCCAGCTCCAGTCTCTGTGTCGTTGTTTGATTGGGGTTCAGTTTCCAGTCTTCAGAATATCCCACACCAAGACTTTTCAACATTTACTCCCCATAATCCTCTTGGGCAATAGTTATAGTAAACCTAAATGTTTTCCCCCTTTCATTAAAAATAAATATTCTGTGTATTTTTGTGGAAAAAAAGACCGCCAAGATGTGTCTGATAAATATTTTTTGTCGGCTTGTTGTAGGGAAAGTTAAAGATCCTCTTGTTTGAGATGTTGATGAATGCATTTTATTTCTACCTTTTTATTTAATCTTTTTTTTTTTATTAGATCTTAAGTTGAATTGGCTCACTCTGCTACTTTGTATGAATCAATGAGATTTCATTGGATTTTTATCATAAACTTGTATGGAAGTATGAACTTTTGTCCTCATTACTTGTGTTTTTAAGTCTGGTATCCAGACAACGATGGAACTCCACACACTTCTGCTGCTTCGAATGTACTTTCCGCATGTTTCAATCCTTTTCCAGACTTTATTTCCACCCATTCAGTCCTCTGACGATCTCTCATTCATTCATCATATGTTCTATCCATCCTCCCTTCTTCCCGCTTGTTTCTGTTTTTCACATCTATCTCGACTGAAGCAGAGTGGGGAGACGGTAATTTTAGCCTACGATCTGGCATCTACATTCAGAAAACACGCATACACCAAAGTGCCTCCTCAGCAGTCTGCAGCAGCACTGCCTCAGCCCACTGTGTGTGGGGGGGGGGTTTAGCTTTGAAGTAGAATCAGGGTGTCCATAATTAAACGGGCTATAAATAGTTGCTGCCATATTTAGAAAACTTTATTTGAGACACTGGTGGTGGAGGATCTGCTTGCTCTGTCCTCTTTTTATAAACGTGCGATAACTTCATGCTAAAAATACTAAAAGTGTAGTGTATCTTAAACGTTTGGCTGGCTTTAATATTTGCTGTCATTTTCAATAGATCAGTATTCAACCTGGAGACCTGCTGCTAGGGTTACATTCAGGTGTGTCCTTCAATGCTTTCAGTAGTTTCTCGGTGTTAAAACTGTAGATGGTCCGGAGCACAAATTGGATGTGAAAGTTGAAAACATTCTTATCCAACTTTAATCAAACTAAACCTACCTGACCTCAATACGAATCTTTATCCTCGAGTGTTACTGTTATTTATACTCTTATCAAAAGCCAAATTGAGTTCCTACACGATATGCAATAATGACTTGTGTTTTTTAAATGTCCAGGGGGATGCTTTGGCGCAAGGGCCGAACTTGATTTTCTAAAGGGGAAGTGTTTAACAGAGGCATCTGAGAATAGTTGTAATCAAATAAACAAATATACCCAATTTATTTTTTGAGAAGTTGCAAATGAGATGCCATCGACCGTTATTTATACCCGTGAGGAAATTCAGGAGTTTAAAGCAGTGGAAATGAAAAAACAGGACAGTACATATTCACAAGAGGATAACAATTAATAAATACACTAAATAAATAATAATATATTTTATTTTTAGGTGCCTTTCATGACACCCAAGGACACCGTACAATTTGTTAAAAGAAAACGCTAATAGGCAACAGAACATGATAAAAACCCAAACAGGAAATCATGGAGACAATCAAGTGGACACAAATGAAACATAATGGGGAGCACTACAGTGAGTAAATGGTATGAAAGGCATCTGCTTCACTGTCAGAAATAATATACCTCTAGTTAAGAATGTGCTTGGAGATAAAGCATCCTTTTGGTGGTCCTCTTTAATATGCAGAAGGAAGTTACCAGTGTTTCTTAGACTGACTTTGTTCTTACGGAAGTGCGTTAAATGTTTTTAAAGGAACATACATGTATATATCTCAAATGAGAACTAGAAGCTTGTCCATCTTAAAATAGTCTCTGGTCATGGCAGACTCTCCCCTGCAGGGGGCGACCCAGACCAGGGTTTTCCTCGCAGAGCAACCAGATCTATTTTTAGCCCAAACCCAACGAGTCACTTAAAGCTTTCATTATGTCTTTTTGTCTCTCTTTGTATTTCTGCTCGGTATAAGAGGCACGGAGGAACACTGCGATGCTGGCGAGCAATGCAGAGGACAGAGACAACACGAAACTAAATCACCATCCCTTTATTTTATGGATGCGAATATTAATATGTGTTTGTCAATTACTGTTTAAGCGTCTTGCTCAGTCAGAGCTGGAATGAAATAAGACTACAACGGCGAAAACGAATACAATGCAACACAAATTGGTTATTTTTGATGCAATGTATGTGTTTAATTGTATATTTGTGTGAATATACATTGAGTGATGCTTGGATTTATTCATCGACATTCTTTACGATGCATTATTTCCTTTTCTCTTTGTTAACTAACGTCATGTTTCCTTCTCACTGAGTGTTAGGCTGATGGCTTTTGTCTCTATTTTTTTCGCAGAGATACTGTACATCATTTTGCTCAGGCATCATGGTGCGTTTAAGGTCTACGTGTTATTCTCATTTCAGGACAGAAGGGGGCGCTATACAACCGAGATACAGCCTCTCCTCATTGATCGTGACCAGGTATTTCCCAAACCAGCCAGCCAGCCAAAGCCTCGCACATGCGTTTTTACGCGCACACGCACACACGGTGGATCTGAAAATAATCAGGAGGAGGAGGAGGAGGAGTGGGCGGCTGCAGCAGGAGAGGAAGCGAAGAAGATCCTCAGAGAGAGAAGGAAGGCAGCAGCGGCTGTACTGAGTCCATGTGAGAGTAGCAGTGAAGGTAAATCAATAGTCCTGAAGCACGAGGTGGAGCTCAATGGGTTTCCTCACTTTACCACCAACCTTTGGGTGGGGATAAAACCTACTGTACCCCAAAACCATGAGGCGACATGTACACTGTGCACGCTGAGGGTTTCTGTTTCCTACACATTACAAATATGTCATTCTGTTTTGCAGGCTTGTGTTGCTTTGGTGATCTCAAATCATCTAAAAGTTGGTTAAGTCACACTGCCTTTTTGTGGCGTGTGCTTTTACTTGATAGCCTTCTCTAGTAAATGTTTGTGTTGCCTTCAGTGCATCTTATTTTGTTGGGTAAAAAAATCATTCTCAACACAAGTATTGTCTCCTGAAAAGAAAGTGTAACTGAGGGCTAAAATGTAAATATATGGTTATATAAGGTTACTTAAGCGTATGGCCAATTGCTGTTATTACTAATGTAACCTATAACAGTTGGACATGAGGAGGGAGGCGCGTGGCGCAGTGGACTAGTGCGCTGGTGTTCGGATCTGGGGAGCACAGGTTCAAACCCCACTGCAGTCAGCATGTCGTTGTGTCCCTGAGACACTTCACCCCAAATTGCTCCTGTGGGGATTGCCCACAGTATTGAGTATGGAAGTCGCTTTGGATAAACGTCACAAGTGTCATGTAATGATACAGCTGGCCAACTACATTTTAAAACATACCTTTTAGAGCAGTTTGCAACATGTTCTCGACCTCCCATGCCCAAGTTTGGTTCCAAAAATGATTGTATTTCCTTAACACCACAGTTTCTCTCTTACCTGTCCTTCAGGCCTCATGATTTACTCCTTCATTGTCAAGGTTAACTTGTTTTAGAGGGAAAAGGACAACATCTTATGGACCATAGACATGTAGAGGACATTATGTTTTGGGGTCTCTTCAGGACTCTGTTATCTCACCACAAACATAGTGAACTGTCCTTGGTGCTGAAATCACAACAGGCTTGAATCAGGCAGCCATAATGCAACCAATGGGATTTGTTCTTTACAAAGATTGTAAGGACTTAATTTCCCAACAGTGACAGCAGCATTTGATTAAAAATGAACACATGAAATGCTTGTCTTTAGTGCTTCACCAGACTTGCGTGTATAGAGCGTAAGTCTAAAAGCATCATGTCGTAGGCCATGTCCAAAATGAGATACCTTGAACGTATTTATTTGGAATCTGATAAGATGTACAATTGAAAGAAGTGCTTTTCTTTCTTACCTCTTGCTCCTTTAGAGGTCAGAGTTCATGGTCAGTGCTTTTTCTTGTGGAATGATGCCCTTACTTCCTGCACCCAGCATCATAAGCTGTTTATTTTCACGCAGTAATTTATTTTCTATCTAACCGATCACCTTTCAGTCTCAAACCTCGTGATGCCCTTTAACTGCAGCGTCCCTGATCCAGTGAGGAATCAGTGTCATGTGTCGACCCTGGATGTACTCGAAAAAACCCCATTTCATATCAGTCGTGAAAAGGGAACTTTTTCTTCCCTTTTTTATTTATATATTTAAAAAACGCACCGTCCGCCCCCTCATGTACAAGGCTGGGAATAGTAACAGCACTGTGAGGCTGAGCTAAATATAGCAGCCAGTGAGTGTTAACATGTCAACTCCAGCAGCAGTGCAGGGAAGCGGCTGTGGAAGCACACAGCATCGCTAAAAATACCAACCAGCCTCTATCTGCTGCTGTTTATCACATGCTCAATGGTTTATTTACAAAAGACACGATCGTTCCTCCTGTCGCTCGACGACAACATGATATTTGAAGAGAGGTGTGCACCCTCTCGGCGTCTGAAAAGACAGAAATGATAGCAAATTACCTCCTTCATTTATTCCATCTTTAAAGTGAGACATTCAGGAAGTGAAAACGGTGATTAAACTGATTTCTGCACCGGGGGGTTTTCCCCTCAATCCCCCCCCCCCTCATCATTATCTCGATAAAGCCGCATCCTCTGCCGATCTCCTGATACCTATTTACACGATGATGGAGGAAGGGTTTGAACACTTTCTGGATCAAAGAGTGGATGGTTGGATTTTGGGAGGGGTGTGTGTGTGTGGGGGGGGGGTAGTTTATTTTTATCCCGACCGCCTTTTCAGAAATAGAAGTATAGAAAAAAC